CTTTGACATAATAATTCCAAAGCTATGAGTATCGATAGCTAATGTAAACTTGCTTGATAAAGCCTCTGGTCTTAAGTCTTTGTCTCTGACATAAAACTCCGAAACTATAAATATAGGCAGCTGGTATAAATTTTTGTCCCAATAAGCATCCGAATTAAGCTACTAAAAACTTGCACCCAGAAAATGTGTACCAGGTTGGGATCGGATGATCGTCTGGAAAGATACTTTCACTTTGACTTTCATTTTGACTTTAACTTTGATTTTCACTTTGACTTTCACTTTGACTTTCGTCTTGACTTTCGGTTTGACTTTCGTATTGACTTTCGGTTTGACTTCCGGGTTGGCTTTCGTTATGACTTTCGTTTTACTTTCGCTTTGATTTCGAGAATATTTACTGTATTGAATTCACAAAATAAAGTGCGACATATTTTTACAAGCCAAACAACTCGTTTAAACAATAAAATGTAATAACTCGAACCAAACATGATAATTAGTTACATCGCTAAAATTGTATATAGTTATTCAGTGCCTCTTATTATTCGTGTTAATTTGGACGGTGAGTATAAAAGACTTTTTAATTAATTAAAATAAGTGATTCAAGTTTGTAAGCATTTACTTATTTGATTTGCATTAATTTAGCTAATTGAGTGAGTATATACTTGTTCGCATTAATTTATTGTGAGTATGAAGTTCTTTATAAATAACTATCATTACATAGTGATGTTCATATCATTTTGTTTAGTTCCTGTTGTTAAGTAGAAAGATTAAGACTAAGGCGTTTGTACAATGTCGAAAAATTATGATTAACGAACTTAAAACACGAGCATTTTGGACGGAATTAGTGAAATAAAAATTAAGAAAGCCAGAATTGGATAATATATTTAAGCTAAATATTGTTTTAAGGAAGGCTAGTCAGTTCTCAGAATTGATTTTGGAGAATATACGTATATGATTTTGGTTTATTAGCGTTAATTCAGTTGAGTATAAAGATCTTGATCGATCGCTTAAAAACTCTAAGTTTCTGCTTCTTATTTATTCTTGCTAATTTAGCGAGTAAATACAAACTTTAGTATTTAAAATAAATTATAGTTACATAATGCTACTCATATTTTTTAATTGCATTAATTTAATTATGTATAAAGATCTTTTAACCAATGCATTAAAATTCGTGAATTCATAGATTTTTTGTCTATGTTAATTTAACTTGTAATTGATGTATCAAAAAAGTAAGCTACTTTATAGTACGTTAAAATTCTATGAATTTAAGATAAACTGTTTAAATCGCCTTATTTTAATTATTATTTTTATTTATTTATTCGTTATAACTAAAAAAATGTTATTTTCATTGAATAAAAAAATTCATAATTTATCCAGCAATCAGTATCCGAAATCACATGTAAGCCGGCAAAATAATCCGGCTACCATTTTTTCTGGGCGACGCTAGGGTTGTTGCATAATATTTTTCGTTTGTTTTTTCATCATGCAAAAAAAAAAAAAAAAAAAAAGAGACAAAACATGTTACAGACATGGCTTTTGTGAGCAGTTATTATTTCGTTAATTAAAAGAAACCATCAAATTAAAAACCTAAATAAACTTTGAATCTATCGAACCTACCTATGCCACTTCAGCAAATATTTCTGTTAGCTTATAAGTATCAGGTTGAAAATTGCAATGTTCAGCCGTTTAAAGATAATATTGAAATTGATTTGTATTTTATTCATAATAATTCAAATTTTATTTAAAAATTACATAGCGACGAGATCTAAATAAGCTGTTAAAAAGTTTTTTAAGCGTATTATTGGTAATATTAACTAACTTCTGGGATATTTCGAAGAAAGATATGAAAAATCTAAATCTTTTAGCGATGGGCAAGTTAGTGCTTTATCTATTTCGACAAGATTCCTTATCGCAAAAAAAAAATCCATGTACAGAAAGAAAATATTAATCTAAAATGAAGAAGTATAATAAAAGATTAGCCATAAAAAGAGTGCAGTAAACTCTTTCTATAAAGAAAAGATTCTGAAAAAAAAAAAGTTCGTTATAGAAAATTACTCAATTTTATTAAAAACACATGGGACTTTCTATACCGAACTATTATGAAATACCAAAATTTTGAGCTCATTATATCCAGAGTCGACTGTACATAATTTATTGAAGAATATCAAAAAAAAACCAACCAAATGGCTAAACAAATAAACTAAAGCCAAATGATTAAATAGAAATAAACTAAACTAGCGTTATATTTTTAGAATGTCAAACTTCAATTTGTATTATTTCTGTGTTTCAACTTCAAATTATTTGTATTATTTCTATGTGTTTCAACTTCAAATTATTTAAATTATTTGTATTATTTCTATGTGTTTCAACTTCAAATTATTTGTATTATTTCTATGTGTTGTATACAGTGTTGAAAATTCGTTGTGCACGTATTGTTTTTTGCACAAAAGTTACAATACATGCACAAAAAAAATTTTTCGCAATTTGCACAACTGCACAATTGACTGTGCAGGTCAAATAATGTTAATACGTAGTACAGTAGTATCAAAGTCATCTGCCTCATACCTCCGGTTATACTAATCACATGCTCAAGCAAAAAATTATCGAAGCGAATAGTTATTTAATTTCAATAATTCTTTTATAATAAAATGAATTAACTATTTATGTAAACTTGTAGATCAACAATAGTAATAATTACTCTTAACCTCTTAAACCGTTTAGCGAGCAAGTTTGTATACTAATACTAAAATATAAAAGTATGTAAAAACTAATGGTTAAGAGATAAGAATATACTTTTTATTCATAATGTTATAATAAAGCAAATTTTATAAAAGTATATCGTAAATATCAAAATTATGTAATTTATACTTTAGACTTCAATATGAATGATAAAGGCAAATGTAAAGCTACTAGTGAATTAGAAATTCAAAATCAAAATCAAAATCAAAAAAAATCACGAAATATAACAAGCCTACCAAATCCATCTTCTTTGTGGTTAAAAAATTGGGAATGGTTAGAATATCTTGAAACTGATGAAAATTTGCGAATATTTTGTAAATTATGTAAAGCGGCAAAGTTTGATAATGCATTTACTCAAGAAACTAATATCTTTAAGAAAGATATTGTTAAACGACATGATGAAAAAGATCTAAAGCATCAAAAAGCAAAGGAACAGTTTTTAACATTAGTACTTCATCAATTAAATGATACTGATATGAAAATTATATGGCAAATGAAATGTGTTTATTTTGTAGCTAAAAAGCATCTTTCTTTTAATGTATATTCTGATTTATATAGTCTGGTTGTGAATAGTGACAATATTTCTTCAGATCCTCAAATACTTAAATTTTCTGCACTTAGTTTAGAAGAATCTTCAGAATACAAAGGTTATGAGACCTATTTAAATCATGTTACAGCTCAAAATTTTGCTATAGCAATCATACATATAATTGAAGAAAAGCTTATTGATGAAATAAAGTCAGCAAAAAACTGGAGTATTATGATCGATGAAAGCAATTCTATAGATGAAAATTTATATCAGCCACCTATGTTTATTGCTTTGGAGTTATCAAGTTAGAAATATCAACCGGACAAAAACTTAAGA